TCTATCTATCTATCTATCTATCTATCTATCTATCTATCTATCTATCTATATGTTATTGGGTCTTGCATAATTTCTCATTGTCAAGTTTCCTTGCTCCTTCAAGTGCTTTAAAAAATTTATCTGATATTAATTAAAAAAAAGAAAGTCCTTTCTGTGTTTAGAGAGGAAAGTATGTATTGGCTCCCACTACTGATCAAAAAGCAATTGACATTGTTTGCAAAAAAAATAGTTTTATTCAATAAAGTCTCAATGAGTGTGTTAACCACACTTAAAGATAGGTCCTGTGCCCAGCAGTAGACAGCAAACAACCAAATCTAATGGTACTTTAGTCCACTTTTTGTCTCACATTTCTTTGGGTATTTCTTTTGTCTAATTGGTGTTCTGACTTTTTATGGTTTGCAATAATGTGTTTTATGGTCTTGGTTTCTTTGTATACTTTAATCAGTTTTGTTTCTTTTGTTTGTTTGCTTGATTGATTTTATTATTTTGCCTGATTGTTTTCTAAAAAGAGAAAAATGTTCATGGATTTTTATTCCTCTGTTATGGTTTTAGTAGTCATTCTTCTTAACATTTGTATGTGAATTCTATATCACCTTTTCATGATAAATATAATGGGATTTGCCAGATTATAGGGTAGAAGGTTCTTTTTTTGCTAATGGAGTTAGTTCCTTTATAAAGAAATCTAAGAGCTGTTTCTTGCCAGGGCTCAGCCCTAAAGCAAAACGTATGAAAGGGAGGGCAAGCCCTGGTCTAGCACCAAATCCTATGCTATTATTTTAGACATGCCATCCTGTAGAACTTTATGACATGAGTGTCTTTCCAGCTAGGACATCCAGTTTATGGTACTTTATTATACTGATGCTTATAGACAACTAACTTCACAACTGTTAAAATTAATCACAATTACTTTTGTAAAGTACTTTTACTACTAACAGTAAAACATTTCATTGAAGTTTGGATAATTTGTCTTTCAACTTTCCAATTTCATATATTAAGCGGTATAAGATATCTACTCAATTTTGAATCACTCATTTATTCCTACAGTTTTATCTACAATAATTAACAATTTCCTACTCCGGAAAACTTAATGTCTTTAAGACATCTTTACTTAAAACAGTATGTTTATTCTTAAAATTCATTTTATTAATGGAAGAGACATTAAAAAGTAAAGACAAACTAGATATTTCTCAATTTATACTGGAGTTACATCCTGACTAGACATGATACGATGAAATCACTATCTGTTTAAATCAATATAAATATCAAATCTTCTATTAATCATAGCAAGTAGGGCTTTTGAGATGTTGTCTAATAGCAACTATTTCTAGTGTTATTTCTTAAGATTAATTAGTTTTAATAAATTTTATTGCATTTGTTGTTATTTTCCTTTATTTGGGCAAAAAGTATGTATATGTTCATTGCTTGTTTATAAATTATATATAATATATTTTAGCTTTTAACGTCCAATAATAGACAGAGATCGAATCACAGGCCTTAGTTACATTAAATTTAATTAATCACCCGAATCTTTTATTGTGCCAAATCTTTATTTTAGAATTTCGTACACAAAATGCTTCTTAGATATTTTATTGTATAAAAGAATTGCGTAACACTTATACTCATTAGGAATGATAAGTCTGACAGTTTTATAGTTGTATGTTTATTTAATAATACTAATTTGAAGACTAATACAAAACATCTTCCATTCACTGGGACTCAGCGATTTAGATACAATGGTATGCCTAATGATTGGAGCAACTTAAGAAAGTGCTGAATAGAAACAGACACTGAAGCAGTTGCATCTATTTCCTGGCCATTGATTTTGTGGTAGGACACATTCCACTTGGATTAAGAATTTTGAATGCACTACTTTTTTTTAAATTTTTGCCAACTATCTCTCATGTCCAAATTAATTCCCATTTGTCAACAGAAGGTTGTACTTATGGAAGAAATGAGTTAATGCTTCAGATGTAACTTGAAACTGTATTAGTAATGTGCACACACCTTTCAAAACAAAGGATGTTTATAAAGTCTACTAGTAGTTGTAACTTATTTTGAGCAAATGGGATAACTGATGTGACCATCAATGCACTTTGTACGAAATTCAGGTGATCCTTGTGCCTTTTGATATCCAGTTTTACACTCAAATTCAACATAATCCCCTGACTGGATATAAATCTTTCTATTTTCTATCCACTTGAGAATTATGTTCTGTCTTCCCATAACTTCTTCTGTTAACACACATGCATCTGAAAGAAAATTTATAAAAAGTGTTCATTGATTGATACATAAACCTATAGGAAATCAACTTTAACGCATCATTTCCTAAAGTACTTTAAAAACCTATATAAAATAGGCACATAGAATTAGTAAATATTGAGTAACAAATGGAATCAAAATAATATGTTTAATATGGTAATTAAATTTCATCATCAAATATTACTAAAAATTTTGAAATAAAAATGTTATATTTCAGGATATTCACGGTAAACATTGATTTAAGTATTGATAGAAGGGACAGAAATTTAACCTTGACTTGTGTTTGATATTCAGATCTAATGTTTAGTGTGATAAGTACATTTAAAAATACTGCTATTAATAATCAAAACATTGTTTTATAGATATCTTTATTTACTGGTACTAGTGTATATTAATAGTGATTAATATTTCATGAATTTTATTTGATAGTTTTCAAATGGAAATCTATCAAATTACAGCCCTGGAAAAGTAAGAAACCTGGTTAAAAGCAGCTTCACAAATCAACACTCTTGCACTTGGGCTTATATTACTAGAAAATTGTCAAGGTGGAATGTCTTGGCTGATTCTGTCTTTCATCAATGTCCTCTGTGGCTGTCCTACACCACAGCACAGCTGATCATGCACTATAGTAAAGGCTGGGACTAAGTGTTATAGAGGCCCATAACCACACCTCCGTTGTAGTATCTGGCCTCCTGCCACTGTCTGGTTACAGAAAAAGGATTACAGAACTCTCTCTCTGCTGAGGGTTTCAGGAAGAGTAACCCATGTTATTAGACAATCTGCCATTAACTTTTTCTGAGAAGACCTGCTCCACCTATTTTGAGCTACAACATCCACTGTAGCAGTGTTGACACAGTCTGTAGCTTGTATACTCTGTGATGTCTCTGCCTCAGTCTCAGCATGATTGACAAAAACAGTGGTTCACATTTTTCCCAAAGGTGTTAATTACAGGCAAAGAAGCCAATGGTGCTACCTGGAAGTAACCCCCACATTTCAGTGCCAGATACATCTAGAGAAGATGGCTCCCTCTAAAAAAATTGTCCATAAATATAGTTTAGAAAAATTGATCCATCATATTTGCAAAAAGGCACAAGAAAATTTACAAATTGGAAGGAGCAAGACTCCTCCCTAGATCTAATACACTTTCAGTAACAGACTCCCAATATACTGACATAGAAAAAAATGTTAGTCCTGGTCTGCACCCTAGCACTGCGCAGATCCTGGGCTTCACCTCTGTACCCAATCTCACAAAACCCAGAGGAGGCTGGACTCCCAGGAGCTCTAACTTTGCCAGTATCTTAAGTAAGGAGATAGCAATACCTGCACCAAATGGAGTAACTGGGACCCACTGGGACTCAGGAATTCTCTCCTGGCCTGGGGCACTGGTTTCTTCCAGTCTGCACCTGAGCACTGAGCAGATCTTGGGTCTTAGCTCTAACCACAGCAGCAACACACTAATTGTGTCCTGAATTTCCTGGATGTTTTGGGTTAAGAACTTTTTGCATTTTGCATTTTCTTTGACAGTTGTGAATTCCCCATATCACCAGGAAAGCAAGATTCAGATTTAAAATCACTTCTAATGATGATGATAGAGAACTTTAAGAAGGACATAAATAACACTCTCAAAGGATTTGAGAAGGACACAGGTAAACAGGTTGTAGCCCTTAAAGAGGAAATACAAAAATTCCTTAAATATTACAAAGAAACACAACCAAACAGGTGAAGGAATTGAACAAAACCATCCAGGACTTAAAAATGGAAGCAGAAACAATAAAGAAATCACAAAGGGAGACTACTCTGGAGATAGAAAACCTAGGGAAAAAATCAGGAATCGTAGATGCATCACCAACAGAATACAAGAGATAGAAGAGAGAATCTCAGATGCAAAGATACCATAGAAAATATTGATACAACTGTCAAAGAAAATGCAAAATGCAAAATGCAAAAAGTTCTTAACCTAAAACATCCAGGAAATCCAGGACACAATGTGAAGACCAAACCTAAAGGTAATAGGTATAGAAGAGAGTGAAGATTCCCAACTTAAAGGGATGATAAATATCTTCAACAAAATTATAGAAGAAAACTTCCCTAACATAAAGAACGAGATGCCCATAAACATACAAGAACCGTACAGAATGCCAAATAGATTAGACCAGAAAAGAAATACCTCTTGTCACATAATAATCAAAACACCAAATGCACAAAACAATGAAAGAATATTAAAAGCAGTAAGGGAAAAAGGTCAAGTAACATATAAAGGCAGACCTATCAGAATTACACCAGACTTCTCACCAGATGCTATAAAAGCCAGAAGATCCTGTACAGATGTCGTACAGACCCTAAGAGGACACAAATGCCAGTGCAGGCTAGTATACCCAGCAAAACTCTCAATTACCATAGATGGAGAAACCAAGATATTCCATGATAAAACCAAATTTACACAGTATCTTTATACAAACTCAGTACTACAAAGGATAATAGAGGGAAAGCTCCAATACAAGGAGGGAAATTATACCCAAGAAAGAGCAAGAAAGTAATCTTCTTCCAACAAGTCCAAAAGAAGATTGCTACACAAACAATGCTACCGCTAATAACAAAAATAACAGGAAGCAACACTATCCTCTCCTTAATATCTCTTAACATCAATGGACTCAATTCCCCAATAAGAAGACATAGATTAACGGACTGGATATGTAAACAGGACCCAGCATTTTGCTGCATACAGGAAACCCACCTCAGTGACAAAGAAAGATACTACCTTAGAGTAAAAAGGCTGGAAAACTATATTTCAAGCAAATAGTCCTAAGAAACAAACTGGAGTAGCCATTCTAATATTGAATAAAATCGACTTTCATCTTAAAGCTATCAAAAAGGATAAGGAAGGACATTTCATACTTGTCAAAGGAAAAGTCAACCAACATGAACTCTCAATTCTGAACATCTATGTGCCAAATGCAAGAGCATCCACTTTCATAAAAGAAACCTAAATAAAGCTCAAAGCATACATTGCATGTCACACAGTAATAGTGGGAGACTTTAACACTCCACTCTCAGCAATGGACAGATAATGGAAACAGAAACTAAACAGAGATACAGTGAAACTAACAGAAGTTATGAACCAAATGGATTTAACAGATATCTATAAAACATTTCATCCAAAAACAAAAGAATATATCCTTTTCTCAGCACCTCAAGATACCTTCTTCAAAATAGACCATATAACTGGCCACAAAACAGGCCTCAACAGCTACAAGAAAATTGAAATTATCCCATACATCCTATCAGATCACTATGGAGTAAGGCTGGTCTTCAATAATGACAAAAACAATGGAAAGCTCACATTCACATGGAAACTGAACAACACTCTATTCAATGATAATGGTCAGAGAAGAAATAAAGAAATTAAAGACTTTTTAGAATTTAATGAAAATAAAGACACCGTCATTCCAAAATTTATGGGACACAGTGAAAGCAATGATAAGAGAAAAACTCATAGCTCTAAGTGCCTACAAAAAGAAACTGGAGAGAACATACACTAGCAGTTTGACAACACACCTGAAAGCTTTAGAACAAAAAGAAGCAAGCACACCAAAGAGGAATAGACAGCAGGAAGTAATCAAACTCATGGCTGAAATCAACCAAGTAGAAACAAAAAGAATTATACAAAGAATCAATAAAACCAGGATCTGGTTCTTTGAGAAAATCAACAAGATAGATAAACCTTTAGCCAGACTAATCAGAGGGCAGAGAGACAGTATCCAAATTAATAAAATCAGAACTGAAAAGGAAGACATAACAACAGAAACTGAGGAAATTCAAAAATCATCAAATCCTACTACAAAAGCCTATACTCAACAAAATTGGAAAATCTGGATGAAATGGACAATTTTTTAGATGGATACCAGTTACCAAAATTAAATCAGGACCAGAAAAACCATCTAAACAGTCCCATATACCCGAAAGAAATAGAAGCAGTCATTAAAATTCTCCCCACCAAAAAAAAGTCCGGGACCAGACTGTTTTAGTACAGAGTTCTATCAGACCTTCAAAGATGACCTTGTACCAATTCTTTATAAACTGTTCCACAAAACAGAAACAGAAGGAACACTACCCAATTCATTCTATGAAATTACAATTACGCTCATACCTAAACCATACAAAGACCCAACAAGGAAAGAGAACTTCAGACCAATCTCCTTTAAGAATATCAGTGCAAAAATACTCAATAAAATTCTAACAAACTGAATCCAAGAACACATCAAAACAATTATCCATCATGATCAAGTAGGCTTTATCCCAGAAATGCAGGGATGGTTCAATATATGGAGATCCATCAATGTAATCCACTATATAAACAAACATAAAGAAAAATAACCACATGATCATGTCACTAGAATCTGAGAAAGCATTTGACAGAATTCAACACCCCTTCATGATAAAGGTCTTGGAAAGTTCAGGAATCCAAGGCTCATTCCTAAACATAGCAACAGCAATATACAGCAAACCAGTAGCCAACATCAAACTAAATGGAGAGAAACTTGAAACAATTTCACTAAAATCAGGGACTAGACAAGGTTGTGCACTCTTTCCTTACCTATTCAATATAGTACTGGAAGTCCTAGCCAGAGCAATTAGGTAACAAAGGAGGTCAAAGAGATACAAATTGGAAAGGCAGATGTCAAAATTTCACTATTTGCAGATGATGTGATAGTATACTTATGTGACTCCAAAACTTCCACCAGAGAATTCCTAAACCCGAAAAACAACTTTAACAAAGTGGCTGGATATAAAATTAACTCAAACAAATCAGTAGCCTTCCTCTACTCAAAAGATAAACAGGCTGAGAAAGAAATTATGGAAATGACACCCTTCATAATAGTCACAAATGATATACAGTACCTTGGTGTGAAACTAACCAAACAAGTAAAAGGTCTGTATGACAAGAACTTCAAGTCCCCCAAGAAAGAAATCGATGAAGATCTCAGAAGAT